GTGAATGTTAGTTTCACTGGATACATCAGTCTTGGTTGGAAGTTAAGAATGGTACTTTTCAGGCTCTCCTTGCATTGATGGTTTGTGTGGAGAGGTTCATAGTGATTCTGATTTTCTTTCCATGCTCCTTCTTTGATTTTAAAGTATTTAAAATAAGCTGTTTGCAATGCAGGTCCAGTGTCTTTACTACAATATGTCTAGAAGTGTCTCTTCGAGGATCCTGTCTACAAGGTGTTCTGTATGTTTGTTGTGAGTAGGTTTTCTTTCTTGAGATTGGGGAAATTTTCTGTAATAATCTTATTGAATAGGTGCAGCATCCCTCTATTCTGATATTCCTATCTCATCAATCCCAATTATATGAAAATTAGAGTTCTTGGCATTGTCTGACAGTTCTTGGACTTCCCTTTGGTAACTTCTGAGTGTTTTTTCCATATCTAATACTTTCCTCTTGTTTATTATCTTCAACTCCTGATATTCCATTTTCCATCTCATCCATTCTGCTACCTGTTGATTCCATTGTGGTTTACATTGTAGAAATTCATGTGCTCATGATCTCAATATCGATCCTCAAAGTTTTAATTTTATCTCTAAAGGAGGTATGTACTGCATCGAGTAGGGCTTGAACTCTGGGCCTGGGCACTGTACATGAGCTCTTCAGCTCAAGGCTGGTGCTCAACCACTTGAGCCACACTGCCACTTCCTGTTGTCTGGTGGTTAATTTGAGATGAGAGACTCACAGACTTTCCTGCCTGGGTTGGCTTTGAACTATGATCCTCACATATCAGCCTCCTAAGTAGCTGGGATTACAAGCATGAGCCATTGGCGCCCAGCACTGTTTTTTCTTGACTACATGTTTTTAGATCTTGGAATACCTTTGATATTTTTTCTTTCTACTCTTAAAATTGGGTTTGTAACTCTCTTTTTCTTACATTGATCAATTCTGCCATCATTTCTTTATGTTACCTTTTGTTCTCCATTTGTTCTTTGCTCTCACTGGAGTTCTTTGGGTTGCTACTGGATTTTGGGTTTCGTTTATTGGCTTGATAGCTAGTGGTGGGGCCTGAACTCTGGGCCTGGTCACTATCCCTGAACTCTTCACTTCAAGACTGGTGCTCTACCACTGGAGCCACAGTGCCACTTCTGGCTTTTTCTGCTTATGTGATGCTGAGGAAGTGAACTCAGGGTCTCTACCACTGAGCCACCTACCCAGCCCGAGTTCAAAATTCTCATAGCTTCTAAATTCTTTAAGTTCAAACTCATTCCCAAGAGGGGCCTGGTCAGGACCTACCAAACCCTTACCCGATGCCCTCCTGGGGTGAACAGCCATGTCCTGCTATCAGGTTCCCATGGGCAGGTGCATGCATCCCCCGTGCGTCCTCATATGCCTGTTTCCCCACAGGGAGTTACAGGAAGAGAGTGGTCTGACAGCAGAGATGCTGCACAAAGTGGGGAAAATCGTGTTCGAGTTTGTGGGCATCCCCGAGCTAATGGAAGTGCATATCTTCTATACAGAAAGTGTACAGGGGACACCTGTGGAGAGTGATGGTAAGTCTTCAGGGTCCCTACCACCCATTCTTGCTTCCCTGGGGAGGACACAGGTGTAGGCCTTGGGCCCTCTTCCTTCTCCAGTGAGCTCAGAGGCTCTGTGGGCCATCTACAGCAGGTGCAACAGCATAGCCCACAGCCCCAGCGCATTTCCTGCTCTACAGAGTGAGGGTCACTTACATGGTTAGATGGAGCCCCTACCACAGAGCTCCCCTGTAATTCCTGTCAGCCTGGGTCGGGGTGACCACCACAGCTCTTCCCTGTCACCCTTTGGTTCAGAAATGCGACCTCAGTGGTTCGCCCAGGACCAAATCCCCTTCCGTGACATGTGGCCCGATGACAGCTACTGGTTCCCGCTCCTGTTCCAGAGGAAGAAGTTCCGCGGCTACTTCAAGTTCCAGGACCAGGACACTATCCTGGACTATTCGCTACATGAGGTGGACCAAGTTTAGCGCTGAGCCTACTGGTGGCCAGGAGAGGGCGCCTTGGCAGCAGCTCTCCTGTCCACGTGCTCACAAGGCCAGCCTCATGAGGTGTCAGAGGTGACTGGATGCAAGGGAGGGCCTTCAGCAGTGTGGCTTGTCCTGTCCCCAGGGAGCTGCCTGTCGTGCCGCTGTCACACAGAACACTGGACACAGGTGGGAGGGACTGGGTAAAGGAGGGCCTGCCATATGACCTACTGTCCTTTTATTGCCACTCCCCACTTTGTGATTCCTACCCTTTCCCAGTGGGGAAACAGACAAACAAGAGTCAAAAGCCATGGGGCTGGGAAGGTGGCTCAGTGGTAGAGCGCTTGGCTCGCATGTATGAGACCCTGGGTTCGATTCCTCAGTACCACATAAGAAGAAAAAGCCAGAAGTGGTGCTGTGGCTCCAGTGGTATAGCACTAGCCTTGAGCTGAAGAGCTGAGGGACAGCGCCCAGGCCCAGAGTTCAGCCCCATGACCGACCAAAAAAAAAAAAAAAAAAAACACAGTCAAAGGCCAATCCTGGCATGTAGCAGGCTTCTCCTCAGAATACCATGGCCATTCTCTTCCAAATGGGAACCACCAAGAAGCAGAGAAAGAACTGAGAGTTGTGTCCACTATGAACTTCACCAAGGATTTTTGGGTAAACAGCAGAGTAAAAACGGTTTGTAAACACTTCCAGTTTATTGGGTATAGTAGTAACTGATTTCTGCAGCCCATAAAGTGCTTCATACATAGAGCTGGCTTCCACAAAGCCTGGGAAAGGCCTCCTGTTTTTCCCACAGCGGTTTCCTGGAGCTGCCTTCTCCCCAGGGCTGAGGGAGCAGACCAGGCCGGCACTCCCCCGGCTCTCAGGACCAGCCAGGGCTTCAGCTGAACCCTCACTCAGACACCTTGCCCTGGACAGGATTCTTGTGAAATTCCCACTCTAGTGTCCGGCCAGAGCATGGCAGCAGGAGAGCCAAGAAGGGTGAAGGGACTTCAGTCACTCCACCTGGAGCAAGCCTGGGCCAGGAGTGACTGTGGGCTCTGCTGCCCTAAATTCCTTAGGCCTTCCTCTAGAGTGCCTGGGGATGGCAGGGTGGCCTGAGGCAGCCTTCCTGCCTCCTCTTCCCCCACCCTCAGCCTCTAGATCACAGAACCTGAAGGAGCATTAGGAGTGTGACCTAGCTACTCACCCTGGGTCCTGCCCACAGCTCCCCTACCTCTGTCTGGTCCCAGAGACAGGCTGGCAGACAAGTGGCCTTGACTGGGCCCCAGGCCGTCAGAGGCCGCAACACTGCTGCAGCCTTTGGCACAGGTAGGCTCAGGCCCAGCAGCTCTACTGTCACCATGTGGAAGGACAGCCCTGGGAATGGTACAGTTCCACATAGTGATCAGGAACTGTCTTCCATGAGGGAAGGTTGTCTTCAGAGGGCCAAGGAGGCCCAGCTGCCATCGGAAGTGACTCAGCCATCCCACAGCATTGGCAAAGAGGGTTTAGTGAGGCCACGGGGAGTTCTGCAGGCCTCAGGCACTAGTGGGGACACACTCCATCCTCCTTGGGGATGATGGTGGTGTCAGGGTGCCATGAGGTCCAGCAAAGAGTCAGCTGAGCTTCGACTTCAGGTCGCTCCACACCTTGTTCATCTACAGGAGTCCTATCCCACCTCCACAACCTCTTGAAGTGAGGACAGAGCTGCCAGGCCCACTCGCTTAGCGTGGACAACCTCCAGAGGCCACATTGGTTCTTCCTCTGTCCCCTGCATGCAGGAGCAGAGCCACAAGTCAGTCTGACCTGATACTTTCGCACTTCTCAGCTGGGTACCGATAGCTCATGCCTATAATCCTAGCTACTCCTGAAAGAGCACCAGTGGGCCTATATCCACCCATGACTGTGCGCCTCCAGTGTACACATGGCAGAGGCACTCTGTGGACACAAACAGGTCAACCAGTAACACTTCTCTAGACACCAGCAACTCTATCATGACCAAGAGGAGAAAGTAGCTCAGCCCAGAAGCCTGTGCTCATGGAGCACTGTGGCAGGAGGTAGAGAACCCACAGCAAGTGAACACAATAAGGTTGTGGACAAAGGAGCCATGGCCTGGGAGTGGAGCTGCCACCTCCTCAGGGGACTGCAGGGACTCCCAGAGATTCCTGCCCACTGAATCCCACACCTGAAGCCAGCCTCGATTCTAGCCAAGAAGCTCCAGACCAGTTGCGAGTGTACTGAGTGTTCTTAAAACATGGAAAGGAGGGGCTGGGAAGGTGGCTCAGTGGTAGAGCGCTTGCCTTGCATGCCTGAGGCCCTGGGTTCGATTCCTCAGCACCACATAAGCAAAAAGGAAAACAAACAACAAAAAAACCATGGGAAGAAAACAGCTGACCATGAGTACCTAGGTCCCAGTGGACCACCCTGGGGGCCTCTTCCCTGGTCCCCTACAGAGGGGACTCAGGATTCCCTGTGCCCCAACCATTTGCCACCAAAGCTTGTGGTTTAGCATGTGAGACTGTCAATACAAAAGAGAGCCAGAGGCCCACACCTGTAATACCAGCTGAGGCTGAGGCAGGAGCATCACAAGTTCCAGGCCAGCTGGCTACATAGGGAGGCTCTATCTCAATAGTAACAAACAAAAAATTCTATGAATTTCCCTACAACCAAGATCAGGGAAGCAGTATTTCCCTAAACAATATCTTTCAAAGTAGAACTCATGAAATAGCACAGAAGCAGCAGATTGAGAAGAGCCTGGAACTACATCTTCCACTGCTGGGGGCCTGGGCCAGAGGCCTGGGCCTTTCTTTCCTGGTACTTGGTTCTGGGTGGGAGCACAGCATCCACTCAGCTGGGAAAGGTCCTCATGACCTTCTGCTCCTGGCCTTTCATCCCAGGCTCTGCAGACACCACCTATTGAGTGTGGCCACGGTGGGCCCCTTCTTTGCTGTCTGGTTGATGGACAGCTGAGAAGGAGGGTGCATCAGGCTATTAGAAGATGGCTGTTTAACAATCCAGGGTATAATTGGTGGGGCAACCCTGGCAAGGAGACCCAAAGCACTGGAGCCATGGGCTGGGAATGTGGCTTAGTGGTAGAGTGCTTGCCCAGCTTGCAGGAAGCCCTGGGTTTGATTCCTCAGTACCATATAAGTAGAAAAAGCCGGAAATGGTTTTGTGGCTCTCAAGTGGTAGAGTGCTAGCCTTGAGCAAAAGAAGCCCAGGGTCAGTGCCCAGGCCTAGCAAAAATGAAGAAGAATGAGTTGGACGAGGATTCTAAGTTTGGTGACAGTTGTCTTACTGAGGTAGAACCAAGAAAAATAAGAAAAGGGGGAAATTCTATGTAGCTAGCAGAATAGGGTCAAACTTGAAAGGCAGGATATCCCTGTAGAGAAAACCTCTAGCATAGTCAATAAAAGGCGAAAGTAGAGGGCTGGGAAAGTAGCTCAGTGGTAGAGCGCTTACCTTGCATGCATGAGGCCCTGGGTTCGATTCCTCAGCACCACATAAGCAGAAAAAGCTGGGAGTGGCGCTTTGGCTGAAGTGGTAGAGCGCTAGCCTTGAGCTGAAGAACTGAGGGACAGCACCCCGGCCCACAGTTCAGGCCCCACAACTGACAAGAAAAAGTCAAACGTTCAGAGATAAAGGCCTGGGTAAATTAGGGGGTTAAATACTCAGTTGCTACAATTTGGTAAATAACAGTGAAACACAGAAAGAGCCAAAAAAAAAAGCGAATGTGGTTTGATTTTGGGTGTGATAAGTAAGAAGTTTGGAATGTGTTCTGGTCAATATCAATTAAACCAAAAACAGGAACAAAGGGAAGATCTGGGATAAGCACTCTGCCTTTATGACTTATTGCCTTGGATAATTAAATTGTAATCACCATCTGCAATCACTAACTGCTAGGCCTGTTTCTGTACCTTGCTTCTTTGCCCATTTCAAAACTACCACTAGCTACTTGTGAGTGACTCCTTGCGGGTTTCTCCTATACAAGCCTACCCTATGTTGAGCTCCGGGCTGTTCTTCACTGTCCTGATAGTGGGGAGCAGTGAACACTGCTAATTAAGATTCCTAGCCTGATTGACTGTGTTGGGGACTCCTTTCACCAATTGTGGGTTCGAGTCCCACCAGCCCTGGGAAATTGGGATACTACACTGCTGCTAACTAGAACTTGCCAAGCACTGTTAGCAGCACCCAGGAGACTGATCATTGTAAAACTCATCTGATAAGAACTCCCATAGTGGCAGGAGAGGCTGCCGGAATACCTGCAATGGTGGAAGAAAATGATGGGCAGTGAAGTAATACAGACCTACAAGGTGAAGATTTTCTCACAAACCACCACATCTAACTGATTTGGATCACTGCCATCTCTAAGCTCATCCCATGCCCTGAGTTCCACCCACACAGTTGTCTTAGTCCTTGGAAGCTCCACGATAAAACCTTTAGGACAATTTGCAATCTCCTCTCCTGCCTCTCTAATACCTGCAACTTCCTCTTCTGTGGTTGTCCTTGATAGTTGAACTCAGAACCTTTTCCTTAGTTTTTGAGATAGCATGTGGGTTTTTAATTTTTTAAATTATTATTCTAAAGGTGATGTACCCAGGGGTTACATTTATGTAAGTCAAGTGTCAAGTACATTTCTTTTTTTGGGGGGGTCCGATTGTGGGGCCTGAACTCTAGGCCTGGGCGCTGTCCCTCAACTCTTTTTTTTTGGGGGGGTGTGGTCGTGGGGCCTGAATCTGGGCCTGGGCGCTGTCCCTCAGCTCTTCAGCTCAAGGCTAGCGCTCTACCACTTGAGCCAAAGCGCCACTTCTGGCTTTTTTCTTTTTGCTTATGTGGTGCTGAGGAATCGAACCCAGGGCCTCGAGCATGCAAGGCAAGAGCTCTACCACTGAGCCACCTTCCCAGTCCATGTCCCTCAGCTCTTTAGTTCAAGGCTGGTGCTCTACCACTTGAGCCACAGCGCTACTTCCAGCTTTTTTCTTTTTGCTTATATGGTGCTGAGGAATCGAACCCAGGGCCTCACGCATGCAAGGCAAGCGCCCTACCACTGGGCCACCTTCCCAGTCCCATCAAGTACATTTCTTTTTAAACAATGTCACCCCTTCTCTTGCTCTCTCCCAGTTTTTCCCTCCCATCCCCATGGTTCATTTTCAGCATAGTTAGGATATGGTTTTTGCCCAGTCTAACCACAATCTTATGAACTTCCTGCCTCTCCCTCCTGAGTAGTTAGGATTATAGTATGAAACACCAGCTTCTGAATTTTTTTTATTTATTTATGAACATTGTTACAGGTAATTTTTCCAATATATCACAATAATACAGTGATATTAGGAGCAAAAGCAATAACAATCTCTTCTTGTTAGATGCTTATTGAAACTTTAGTATTTGTTGTATT